TAAGGGAGGTTCTTTGGAAGTAGAGTCACAATCATATTTGCAATTTAGAAAGGTCACTTTGGAAGTGCTAGGTCCCCATAGCTCCCTCTGAACAGTGAAGCAGGGAGTAAAAAGCCAGCTCTGACTACCCTCTGCTCCCTGAGTGACGACCTTGCCCTGCCTCCACGGTCCCACTCCCACCTTACGCTGACTGGTGTCAGGGCAGGGGGGTTTTCTGTCCCTAGTGGGATCTGAGGGTCCCCTAGCTCCTCCGAGTCCTGCCCATCAGGGAATAAGAATATGGGGCGGCTTCAAGCTGTCTGCTGCTCTCCTCAGCCTCTAGCTCCCTTCTCATCTTGACCTCAGTCCCCCTCCCCAACTATGCCAAGGCTCCTGGCATTGGGCACCAGCCCTGCTTCGTGCTTCATCTAGATTTGTGCCCCCTCCAATCCTCTGTTTCCTCAAGGGAGAGTGACAAGGCCACTGACACCACTTGGGAGCTCAGGAATATATATAATATATATTAGGAATATATATTAAATATATATTATATATATTCCTGGAGCAGAAAGACCTAGAAGACACCGAGAAAGCCTGTGGACAAATGGGGACCTCAGTCAGCTAGGAGAGGAGAAAGGTTTTGCAGAAGGCATTTCTGTCTTCTTCCAGGCTCCTGGGAGGAGGAGACTGGGTTCCTGTCTTCACTTCCTTATCTTTCAAATGTAGATAAGAGCACTTGCCTCTCAGGGCTAGTGGGAGGACTGAGTGAAATAATTGGTCATCAATTTAGATAACTTGAAGTGATATTTTAGTGGTGGCGATGGGGATGCTGTTATTAAGTCAATGAAGCCAGTGTCTCTAGCCTTTCCGAGCTCCCCAGCCGGCCAGCCCCCACCTCCACCCTTTCAGCCAGCAGGCCTCCCAGAGCCTCTGCCGTCTGCCTGGCCCAGAGGCGCCTGCTCCCCCTCACTGTGGTGTGCCTCCAGCCCTTTGGTCACGCTCTCTTCTTCCTGGACTTTTTGTCTCTGTCTTGTCCTCAGTTCAGTGCCATCTTTTCCAGAAAGCTCCCTTGAGTGTCCCACCCTCACTTCTGGGCCTCCTCAGCCCCTGTGATTCCCATGAGGGCTCTGGTTGTCACGGCCTCTGCCTGCATCTGCCCTTCCTACGGACCATGAGCTCCTTAAAGCAGGCCTAGGCCTGCGTCTGCTCTGTGTTCTAGGCCTGGCCCAGAGCCGGAGATTAGTGGGTATTTGTGGGAAGGAAAGAGGGAGAGAGGAAATCAGTCCCAGGGCCTCCCCAGGCAACTTCCTGTCTGGAGATGCCACCTCAGACCCACCTCACTACAGTTAAGTAGAAGAGGTGCTGGGGAGTATGTGCCTCTGTGTTGTCTGTCCATCTGTCTGTGCCTCTTTCTCTCCAGGTTATCCAAACAGGCAGAACCTCTTCCTTGGTGTGGGGGGTGGGGGTGGAGGTGGTGGTGCAGGGAGGTTGGTACACAAATGAGAGGCAGGCTCTTTGCTCTGGAATTGTGTAGAGATGGACATAAGCCGGGATAATGGACCTGACTCCCTGGGGCACTGTCTCAGGCAGAAACTTGGGTTAGAAGCCATGCTTGGGCATGTGTCCTTGGGCAAGTCACCTCACCTCTGTGCCTCAGTCTCCTCATCTGCAGTGGGGTAATAACCCCACTTCACAGAGCTTAGTGAGGGCTCAAGGAGAGAATGCCAGTTAAATACCTGAGGCCATAAGTCCTCACTGCCCCTTCATTGATTCGTCCAACTCAGATGGGTGGACTGAACACAGGCTAAGCCCTGGGTACAAAGGAAGACACTGTCCCGCTTAAGAAGAGAGGAACAGGGGCTGTTTCCGGTGGGGGCTTTTTGGCCACAGAAAGGAACTTGGTCTTTATCTTAATGAGTAATGAGAAGACAGTGAAGGAGTTCAAGTCCAGAAGTGAGACATGGTCATATTTGGATTTTAAAAAAGATAACTTTGGCCCGGCCAGTGTGACCCAATGGACTGAGCATCATCCTGTGGATTGAGAGGTCCCGGTTCAATTGCTGATCAGGGCACATGCCCAGGTTGCAGGCTCGATCCCCAGTAGAGAGCGTGCAGGAGGCAGCTGATCTATGTTTCTCTCTCACGTCAATGTTTCTCTCTCTCTCTCTCTCTAAAAAAAAAATCAGTAAAAATATTTGTTTTTTTGGTTTTTTTTAAAGATCAGTTTGGCTTTTATGAGAGTGACAGATTAGAGGGAATATTATTTCCAACATTCTCGTTTTACAGAACTACCTAGAGGCTGGATGGGTTACATCTGACATCTTTTAAAATACATTCCTGAGTTTCTGTGGAAGTAACAGAAATCCTCTTAAGCCAACAGTAAAGAGGGAGCTGAAATCAGGCTGGTAAATGAGATGAAGCCACAGCAACCCTGGGAGTATTTACAAGTTCCAGAAACCAAGAACCCCGAGTTTTTGGTTTTTTTCCCTGTACCCTGCTTTATTCGTTACAATTAAAAGAGGAGACCTAAGTGGGTTGCCTGAAACCCATGGGTGATAGCTTAAAGAAACTTGAATTTTAACAGCCACTCCAGGGGTGGGAAGTAAGGTCCTGGCCCTGCCCAGCCACAGTGCGAGGAATTAGAACATAGCCTCCCTACCACACACATGAATCTGGGACCTTCAAAGGGTGTCCTCAGAAAATAGGGGCATTGACCAGAAAAAAAAATCTACCACCCGCCAAGGAGGACAACAATTCTGTTGAGGACAAAAGGGTTCCCTAGAAAATGATAAATGCTACCCTCACACAAATTTTGGGTTTGAATACATACTATCTTTGTGGTCCTGAAAATGCTGAGCTAAAAAAGTAACTTAAGTGGTCTCAGAATGGTAGTGCCCCAGGGAACCTGGTGAAGTGAATGAAAATCCTCCCTGGAGGAATGTGTCCTCATCCCAAATGGATCCATCAAATAGGAGCTCGTGGTAAAATTACAAAACACAGAAGGAAACCAATCACTGTGAGCTATAGGCACCAGAAGCAAGAAATAGCAGAATTAGTTTCTCTGAGAGTTTAAGATGCTAGAATTATATACAGAATATAAATAGTTGTGTGTTTAAAATGTATAAAGAAATAAAAGATGGACTTGAAACAATAAGCAGGGAAGAAAATACTGCCCCAAATGGTCAAACAGATTTGAAAAAGAACAAAGTGGAATTTCTGGAGATGAAAAATATGACCACTGAAATGAACTCAGTAGACAGGATAAGTAGCAGATTAGATACATCTAAAGAGAATTAGTGAAATGGGAGGTCTAAAGAAATTTCTCAGACTCTAACAGAGAGTGTCTATGAGGTAGCAAAGAAGAGAATTAAGAGACATGAAATATAAAATAAGATGGTGAGAGAGAGAGAGAGAGAGAGAGAGAGAGAGAAGGGGTAGGAAGGGACAGGAGTGGAAGGGGAATCTTCCATCAGACCTGGGTAAATATGATAGTGGTCTCCCCTGGGAGGCACTGGGAATTGAAGGGGGTGGGTTCAGAGATGTTCAGGAGGGAGAATTGATAGGGCTTCATGATGGAGGTCAGGGAGAGGGATGTGTTAAGGATGACTATCAGATTTCTGGCTTGAGGAGCTGGGGGAGAACAAACAAGAGTTCAGTTTTTGAACAAGACGCGTTTTCATTGGCCTGGGAAGATCTGCTGATGCATCACAGAAGAGGAAACATTAGAGTTGGGTAACGTATATGTTCGTGTACCTGGTGAAGGGACTTTCTCCTAACTTTTGGGAAAAAGGATCTCCTTTCAGCAAATCATCAAGGCCCTTTTGGAACCTTCTCTCACTCAAAAAAGACCTCCTGAGAAGAGACATTCTCAAAATCATTAGCTAGGACTTTGGGATCTCCTAGTTTCATCTCTCATTTTCAAATGGGGAAGCTGAGGCCCAGGAAGGTCAGGAATTTGCTCTCCCAGCCCTAGACCATTCATTCATTCATTCACTCACTTAACAAAAAGTTATCAAAAACTCATTATGTACCAGATATTAGATGCTGGAGATATAGCAGTGAACAAAACAGAGATTTTTGCCCTCAGGAAGCTTATATTTTAGTGGAAAGAGATCAACCATAAACTCAAAAATAAATAAAAAAAATAAATTAAAAAAAATATGTATATAGCCCTGGCCGGTTTGGCTCAGCGGTTGGAGCATCGGCCTGCGGTACAGAGAGACTCGGGTTCGGTTCCCGCTAAGGGCATGTACCTCGGTTGCAGTTTGTCCCCGGCCCTGGTTGGTCGTGCGGGTGGCAGCCACTTGATGTGTCCCTTCACGTCGATGTTTCTCTTTCTCTCTCTTCCTCTCTCTCCCTCCCGCTCTATCTGAACAAAAAATGGAAAAATGTCCTTGGGTGAGGATTAAAAAAAAAAAAAAATGTATATATATATTAGAAAGTAATAAGAGCTATAGAGAAGTGTAAGGACGGGAATATATCAGAGATGCCATTGAGAAGGTGACCCTTGAGCAATAAAGGCTCTGGGCAGCTCTTACAGGTCCGCCGCCCACTAGAGCCCATTGTGACAGTGTCTCTGAGTTCTAGAGCACAAGCCTCAGACGGGTAGAAGGCCTAGAGAAGAAGGAAGAAAAGGACTGAAGTGGAATTTAGTGGGTGGGCTGTGCCCCCCGGGGGGGGGGGGCAGAAAAGCCCAATGGGTCAGAAGGGCCACAAAGATTCTCTTTACCCTTGTGATAGGTAAGATCAACTTATTTCTGAGTCTTTCTTGCCCCCCTCTCCTTGGCACCCTCAACCCTCTCCACCAGATCTCAGATGTCACCCCATTCTGCTCTCCTCCCACCTTTATGAACACTTAGAGGTGGGTCCAAATTTTCCTTGTGTCCCAGTGGGCAGCCTGGAGGAGCTCGTGACAGGCATCCAAGGCCCACCGGGAAGGTCACGTGGTCCCTGGGAGGCTGTGTTCCATCCAGGAGTGGGGTTGAAATCTCCTGTATCACACCCTGTGTCTCTCTCATCAGAACTCCTGTGAACAGCCTCCATGAGGCCCTGGACGAGTGCATGACCGCCCTGGACCTCTTCCTCACCAACCAGTTTTCAGAAGCACTCAGCTACCTCAAGCCCAGGTGAGGCTTAAGCCCAGGTTAGGGGTAGGAGACATGAGTGTGTGTGTGCTTGTGTGAGCTCACGTGTGAGAGTAGCGGTGGGGGTTTTGGAGTCATGGAGAACCTGAGGTCGTTTGTGAGAGGATCCCCATGTAACTGAATGTCTTTAACCTTCTGGGTCACCGTGACCCTTGAGAGTCCCATAAAAATGGCTCAGGCTTCCCATTCCACAGCTATGAGCAGCCAGGCCCTCCCCAAGGTCACTGTGACTTCCTTCCCCTTAGGTTCTTTCCGCTTCTTCTACTCTGATTTCTTGTTCCCACTGAATCTACTGGGGTTTCTCTGCCATCAGTTAACACAGTCCCTTTTCTTTATTTTTCTCCAGAGTGCTAAAGAGTTGAGTTGCCTTTACTCAAGCCTTTAAGGAAAATAATGACAGTTAGTCATTTAGCCAATTCTTTTAACATTTACAGCTTTCTTTCTTTCTTTTTTTTTTTAATCCTCACCCAAGGATATTTTTCCATTTATTTTCAGACAGAGTGGGAGGGAGACAGAGAGAGAGACACACACACACACATTGATGTGAGAGAGACACATCTATGGGTTGCTTCCCGCAGGACCCCAACCAGGGCGGGGGACTGAACCACAACCAAGGTTTGTGCCCTTGACCAGAATTGAACCTATGACTCTTTGGACTGTGGGCCGATGCTCTAACTGTTGAGCCAAACCGGCTGGGCTTACCGTCTTATTTCTAGATAACATGCTTATACTGCTCTTTTTTAAACTTTTTTCAGTTTTTCAAAAACTGAAATTGAGATTAAATTCAGATACCATAAAATTTAGTGTTACTTTTTAATTTTAAACATCATTTATTGGTAAATAAGTTAGCTTTTTAAAAAATTTTTTCTAATTGATTTGAGAGAGAGGAAGGAAGAAAAAGAGAGAGAGAGAGAAAATACCCATCTTTTTGCTGTTCCACTTATTTATGCATCCGTTGGTTGATTCTTGTATGTGCCCTAACTGGTGATTGAACTCCAAACCTTGATATATTGGGATGACACTCTAACTAATTGACCTACCCAGCCAGGGCAGAAGTTTGCTTTCTTGTGCCTGTCCCATCTCTTTTTCTCATCCTCTTCTTATCATTATATCACCATATTTGGCTACATCAATAATAAATGTTTACATTATTATAACTATGTAGTTAATGCTCATCTCAGAGACATGCCGAACATTGTAAGACTACATTTGTTTTTAGAGTTGATCATTGTCTCATTTTTTCCATTTGCCTAATTTACTATACATGTTTCCTGAACTTTTTATTTATTTAATTTAATTTAATTTTTTTTATCCTCACCTGAGGACATTTTTCCATTTTTTGTTCAGATAGAGCGGGAGGGAGAGAGAGGAAGAGAGAGAGAGAGAGAAACATCGATGTGAAGGGACACATTGAGTGGCTGCCACCCGCACGACCAACCAGGGCCGGGGACAAACTGCAACCGAGGTACGTGCCCTCAGCGGGAACCGAACCCGGGTCTCTCTGTACCGCAGGCCGACGCTCCAACCGCTGAGCCAAACCGGCCAGGGCCTTGAACTTTTTATAACCACTCTATCAGATCAGTGTTTCCCCATCAATGCTCAGACATATCAGGTAAGCACTCAGTTCCTCCTCTCTTCCTGGAAACCTGTCCCCTGGCCACCTCCCCTGCCTCCTAGCACTCCCTTTGCTTCTTTCCTCTTTGCTTGATCCCAGCTTTTTCTCTAGTCTCCTCCCCCATATTACTAGAACATGTCCTTTAGAAATTTCTTAAGAAATTTTTGCATGAATATAATTTTTTCTTATCAGAATTTTGAAGGCATTGTGCCATGTTTTCTAGCATCTACTATATCCCTGGGCACCCTAATTCTTCTTACTTTGCATGTGACCTTTATTCCCTCTCCAGAAAAGTTTAGGGTCTTCTCTTTTATTCCTGCAAGTCTGAAATTTCACTATGCTGGAATGTAGGTCTTTTTTATTTGGTACATTTTATTTGAGACTCTGTCTTTCAGTTCTTTTTTTTTTTTTTTATATAGAGTGGGAGGGAGAGAGAGGAAGGGAGAGAGACAGAGAGAAACATCGACGTGAAGGGACACATCGAGTGGCTGCCACCCGCACGACCAACCAGGGCCGGGGACAAACTGCAACCGAGGTACATGCCCTTAGCGGGAACCGAACCCAGGTCTCTCTGTACCGCAGGCCGACGCTCCAACCGCTGAGCCAAATTGGCCAGGGCTGTCTTTCAGTTCTTGTATGAGCCCTCCATGTTCTGTTTCCCTTTCCTGAGCTTCTTTTAAGTCAGATTTCAGACTTCCTGTATCAGTCCTCTTCTCAGCTTCCTATCTCCCCCTACCCCTAATTCAAAATTCTTCATCTTTTCTCTGATTTTTGGGAGATCTCCTCAATCTTATCATTATATCCTTCTAGTACTGACTTTTCTTTATTTCTGTTATCATATAATTGCTATCCTAGTGCTCCACATTGTACCCACATTGTGGCTACTCCATCCGGTTTTTCTTGATGAAGGAACAATCACGGCTGATAAGTGGCGGAGACAGGCCCACCCAGCACGACCTCTGGGGCTGTCTTGGATCTGGAGCAGGTGGAGGTCGTTACCTGCCTCCCGTCCCCTTCCCCCTCCCCACCATGAGGGAGGGGAAGGAGGCAGAGCATGTGAGGGGCAGAAGGTTCCCGGTGTGGTGTGTCCACCCTGTCCCCCATTCCTCTGAGGGAAGAGTCAAAGTCCCTTGTTGAGAGTGAGGGGCCAGGCTGGTGTTGGGAGTGATGGGAGAGGGGAACATTTCAGTGTGGCAGGCCTAGCTGGGGTTGGTGGCCCCTGTTCAGTGTGCCTGTCTGTGTGGCTGGCGACTTCCTTCGGGGTTAGTGGGGGGTAAAGTGGGCACTTGCGTGGTCAGGGTTCCTAACTGGGTGCAGCAGGAGGTTGGAAGGCTCGGCAATGAGTATTTTACAAGAGAGTGGCTGGTAGGAAGAAGTAAGTTGGGACGTCAGGAAGAGAGAGGCTGGAGGTGGGGGAGAGGCAGTGCAAGTGCTGAGCCAAAGCAGGAAGGTGGGGAGGTTGTGGTTGGGAGGTAGGTGGCATCATTTAGGACTCCAGAGGCAGAGCCATTCTGTGGGATGATGATGAGGTCAAGGTGTGAGCCATGGGATTGGCACCTGTTGCTGGTTCACTCAGCAAACCCTCATGAGCTCCCCCGTGTGCCCAACAGTGTGCTGGGTTCTGGGGCTGCAGTACTGAGCAAGGCTCGGGCTTCCTGGAGGAAATGATGTTCAAGCTGAGGTGGGCTGGTTTCATGGTGTGGATGAGAAGGAGTCAGCCAAATGGAGAGGACATTTCTAGGTAGACGGAACAGATTGTGCAAAGGCCTGGCAGTGATGGATGGAGGGACAGAGACACTTGGCCTTGTTGGAGTAAGGGAGCTGAAGCAGGTCCCAGAAGGGAGAGGCTGGGCCATGGAAGGTGGGCATGGGGTATGAGTCCCCAGCAGGTGCTTGGGCTGGAGAGGAGGGCAGTGAGGCGGGGTCAGAGGGGACCTGAAAGTGGGGTGTGTGGGTGCCTCTGCCTTCCAGCCTAGAGTGGCCCAGCCCAGGGAGGTCCTCAGAAGTGGGGTCTTAGGTTGGGACTGAGGTGTGAGTGTACCCCAGGAAGGATCAGCGGGGATTGGGTCAGAGTCAGGAGGCCCCGATGATGGGACAAGGCTGGCTGACAAATAGTTAACAAGGCCTTTGGCTACTGGTGGAGGTGGGAAGGGCTGGAGGCTTGGGCTTAGCTGCCCTCCTGGTGGCCAAGGAGTCCCTGGTTCCAACACCAGCTCTTCTGAGGGCTCTTCCAGTGCCCTCCCCACCTTGATAGCTGGTCTGAACACGAGCCAGTGGGCATCATGTCCCATAGCTGGGTCTAGCTCAGGGGCGAGGGGCTGTTGCTCTCAGGGGCCTGGGTGCTGTCTGTACAAACGGTTTCTCTGTGGAGTGTCTAAAGTCAGGGAGGTTGCTGTACTTCTGTATCCCAAATCCCAGTGCAAACCACAGTTGGGGAGCTTGCAGGTGGTGGGCTGGGGAGGGCCAGGAGCATGTCGTGGCCTCGGGCCTCAGACTGGAAATTCCACTTTGCCTGCCAGCTGCCCAGGGGGGCTGTTCTTCCTTCTGGGCCCAGCACCAGACTGGGCTCAGCAGGTGGGGCTCAGTGGGTGGGGCTGAGTCCCTGGCCTCAGGCCTGGAGTGGGGTGGGGGGGTTCCGAGGGAGAGGAAGAGAAAGGCGGGGGCTTGAGAGAGAGAGAGGCCTGGTGGGAGGGGAGTATCTGAGGAGGCATGGGTCTGTGTGCTATGGCAGAAACCCCTCTTCAAGGAGAAAGGTTTTATCCGGGACAATGACCCTTGACCCTGGCAGGACATGGAGCGACTCACATTTATTGATCATCAGAAGCCCAAGTTCTGCCCCCACTGCAGGCCATGGGCTCCTTTCCACAAGCCACTGCCCTCAGATTAAACAGTTCTAGCAACAATCTGAGAGGTGTCCTGACAGCTGCTGGTCTGGTGACAGGTGGAGCAGCCTTTGGTTTCCTCCAAAACCTTTGACTCCCTCATCTGAAGGTCACCCAGAAGCAAAAGAGCAACTTAATTTACAGAGGTGTTTTGTGAATGAGAAAAGCAGGAAAATGGTAAAGTGACATGAATTTTCAATAGAATAGTCTATAAACCTTAATCATCTCTCTTTGCCCTAAAGTTCCCAGCATAAGCCTGGCACCGAGGGGTGTCATGCACAGTTAATGAGGGGACGTAGGGAAGGGAGTGGAACCAGTGCAGCACCTACTATGTGCCAGGCAGGGGTGCTCCCAGCCAGCCCCACAAGGACCTGGACAGACCAGCATTATCTTCCTCATTTTGCAGAAACATAAATCAAGACCCAGACACATTATGACTTCCCCAGGTACAGAGAGGGACTGGCATTGTTCTCATCCCTTCTTGCCTGCTGCTCTCTCCATGTGTTAGACTAAATGTTCCCCACCTCGCACCCCAGCCCCAACACACCCTTTATTCCAGTTATTGAGGAGGCTGGAGGTAGGCTCGTTTGGTCCTGTACATGGGTGCTGAGGACAGAGGCTCCCCACACAAGCTCTGTCTGTGAGGTACCCACAGTCTGGGAGGAAACTGTGCCCCTGCTGATACAAGTCCAGTGCGAGCCTACATGTGCTCCCTGTGGAGGGGCCCTGGATTCCCAGTGGCCCTTGAGGCATTTGAAGGCCTTGACAGTCAGGGGACCTGAGGGGAGAGAAGAGCATTTCAAGCTGAAAGAATAGTATGTGCAGAGACCTGGGAGGAGGGAGACTGGAATTTTTTTGAGGAGAGCATGAGCGGTTCAGTCTTGAATGTGACCAGGTCACAGGGCAGAAGCAGAAGAGGTGAGCTGGGCTGGAGAGGTGGCAGGGCCTACGTGGTGTGGAGCCGCAGGTCCAAGTGTCATCTCATGGGATGCGGGAGCTATGGAGGGTTTAACGGAGAGCGACACGATCAGATGGAGGAATGGGAAGAGGCAGGAGGTGGAGGCTAGTGAGGAGGTCCAGGGAACAAGCACTGGACAAGCCCAGGGGTGGGGCTTGAAGAGAGAAGGGATCCCACAGACAGGGCTTGGGCTCTGCCTGCAGGAGGTGAGGCAGAGGCTAGAGAAGACTGAGTGTGGGGAGGTGCGGCCTCAGGCCAGTTTGGAGTCTGCAGAGCAGCCTTGTTACTGCTGCCTTTACAGAACAGAAGAGAAACTGAGGCTCAGATTTGGAAAATCACTTAAAGCCACTCAGCTGGAACCTGAGGTCTTTAGACCTTGGGCAAGTCTCTTCCCTCCCTGGACTTCCTGTTGTCCCATGCAGAATGGGAGAGGGGATGGTGGGCGGTTGACAAAGGGCCAGCTGTCTCCGAAGTTTTAGGAGGTGCAGCTCTCATGTCCTTTCTCTCTGGCAGAACCAAGGAGAGCATGTACCACTCGCTGACGTATGCCACCATCCTGGAGATGCAAGCCATGATGACCTTTGACCCTCAGGACATCCTGCTTGCGGGCAACATGATGAAGGAGGCGCAGTTGTTGTGTCAGAGGTCGGGCCAGGTGGTGGGCAGGGCTGAGGGATCATGAGGCCCATCCTTCTATCACCCCGACTTACCCCAGTGCCTCAAATGCCATTATGAGTGCTGCTCCTTTCGGCTAAGAGGATGTGTCCCCAGGTGCTAACAGCTGTCCCTGTCGGCATTGCTTCAGGAACTTTGTTGTCTGAGCCACTCACTGAGAGGCTCCCAGGGGTAGGCCTGATTGGGAGGAGATGAATTCTGGCTCTGTCACTTAATAACTCTTTGACCTTGGGCAAGTCCCTCTGGGGACTTGACTTTCCCCATCTATAAAATGGGCATGATGATAAGGTTGTCATGGGAACTGAATAAAAATACCAGTCATAGGACCTAGTGTGTAATTGGTGTTCAGTACATGTTAACTGCTTAAATTAATGAACCAATAGACCTTGAGTGTTTGTGTGCAGGAGGGCGTCATTCATTGGGCACATAGTCATGCATGCCCTAGGTTAGGCTCTGTACTGGGTACTGGCCACCCAGGGAATCATCAGACCAGGATCGGTTTGACATTCACACTGACTGGTGGGAAGACAGGCATAAACAGTGACATCCCAGCGTGATGCAGGGAAGCTCAAGGGGTTGTGGGGTTCAGCCGGAGGAGCAGGAAAGGCTTCCTGGAGGAGGTGATGCCAGAGCTGGTTTGTGAGGATGACTAGGAGCAGAAGAGGGGGAGGAGAGGGCTCCAAGCAGAGGTAACAGCAGGGCACGGGTGGGAGAAAGCCCTCAATCGAGGGAGTTGCCAGGATTTCAGTGTATGTGGAGACCTATGGAAGGGGCAGTAGAGGTGGTCAGAGCCCACCTGAGACCTTCACTCACCTTCCCTGAATGATCAGAGGCCCCTTTTTCCTTTTCAGGCACCGGAAGAAGTCCTCAGTAACAGATTCTTTCAGCAACCTCGTGCACCGCCCCACCATGGACCAGTTCACAGAAGGTGTGGCATCCGGGATGTCCTCTCAACCCTGCTGGCCCAGGCAGCCCAGTTCCAGGCCCCAGGAGGGGCAGGAAGGAGCAGTTAGCAGCCTAGTCTCCCTGAGGGGCTGAGCTCTGGCCTGATGCGGGGACACACACGGGCCAGACCCTGGGCCTTTGGAGGAGTGGCTCTCAGATGAGCGGGGAGCATCACCTGCTGAGGTCCTGGAAGTCCAGGAAAGACAAAGCTGTCATTAGGTCTATGTGCTTTGTTCCTCAGGCTGGGGTGGGCTTAGCATTGTGTGCGAGGTTGGGTTTACTGGTTGGATTATACATAGTAGTGATCTCAGGTGCCCCGAGGGAGTGTGGTTTTAGAAGCGGACACACCAGGACGAGATAGCTGAAAGGGGAAGAGATGGCCTGGGCTGCCGGAGCTGTGGCGCTGTGTGCCACACATGGCAGTCCGGGGGTAGCAGCAGGCAGCCATGAACAATTTGGGGCTCTTCAGTACGGGAGTGAGTGGTCTTCCCCACGCGAGAGCCCTGGACGGTCCCGGCAGCAAGCAGTGCATGTGGTGTTGCTGTGCCATCCCCCCTGCACCCCTCCCACGGCTCCCTGCTGCCCACAGGACCTATCGGTGACCTCCGCCCGTGGTCAAGGCCCTCTGAAAGCGGCTGTCCGCCTCTCCTCTTCTTTCCCTGTCCCCTTTCTGCCCTCACCTCAGCCCCATTTCAACCTCTGTGCCTCAGCTGGCCCCAAACATCGGAGTTGTTTGACTCTTCTGGACCTCTTCCTAGAAAACTGTTCCTGCCCCATTCTTCTTTCCTTTTTCAACTCAAATGTGCTTTCTTCTGGAAGTTGTCCCTGACTCCTGGGCTGTGTTAGGCCTCCTTCCCTCCCTTCCACGGCTTCTTTGTTCATCCGTTCATCCAGCGCCTTCCCCTTGCTCAGCTCTGTCCGGGTGTTGGAGACAGCCTCAGCACTTCTAGAGAACCAGGAGCAGGCCAAGGGCCCTGTGCCCAGCCTCTGGGTGGTGGGTGGGGGAGCCAGGGGGAAGCCAGGGGGCAGGACTTGTTAGCTGGTTCAGAACAGCACAGGGTGGGCACTGCAGAACCTGACCTGAGTGATGGGGTGCAGGGGGGAGGGGAGGGTGCTGACTCAGGCTCCCTTTGCCTTTTGGGAAGTGGGGGTGGGGAGGATTTGGCCCGGGCCTCCTGCCAAGTGTCGCAGGAGGCCACAGGGCTTTGGTTTTCTCCCCACAGAGGAAATCCATGCTGAGGTCTGCTACGCAGAATGCCTGCTACAGCGAGCAGCCCTGACCTTCCTGCAGGTAGTAACCTTCTGCTTGCCCAGCAGCCGGGGAATTTCATGTCACCATGTCAGAGACAGAGGGTCTATAGCAGCCACGATCAGCCCCCATGGGGTTCAAGTGAGGACTGAGGCTCAGTCACCCCAACACTCCCAGCCCTGGCCAGGCTCAGTGGCAGAGAGAGAGGCTCTACCCCTCCACACTGAGCACGGGTTCATCCACCACCAGGGTGCGCTTCCACCTCGTGACTGCTGTTTTCTTGCTAAGGGTCACGTGGGATGACAGGCATTGCCACAAAGCCTGCTTTATACCTCATTTATTCAATAAGCAAGTTGACTTGATTCGTTCCAAAAGTTAACTTGTAGCATCTACAACGTACCAGACTGTGCATACATCACAGGTATGTGGTTTTACATACCTTTCACACACTGTATGTTTGTTTTTATGTACATTTACATATATCATTTAATCTTCATCTCACAGGCTTGCAAAAGGGAGGGTTTGAGGGAAGGAGTCCCTTTCCTAAGGTCACGTGGTTGGCAAATTGCAGAGCTGGGATTTGAACCCAGTCTGGCCAACTAGGAGCCTATATTTCTTACCACATAGTGTAAATTCTGAGAACCATCATCTCATGATTTTACCAAAGAGTCTGGGTTATAATTATCACATGTAATCACCATGTAAATATGTTTATCAGGGTGGAAAAGCACATATAAATTTTATTGTTTGAATGCTATTTTTGTTCACTATTTTTTTTTATCTTTTTGGACTTCTGGTGATTAGAATTGGATTAATTCTAATCCTTCATTAGGATCACTTGTAATAATTACATTTGTTTATTCTAGTATCACATATAATAAACAATGCTCATGAATCCCCCGCCCAGGTGGAGAACAGAACATTGCTGGTTCCCTCCCCTCTGGGACCCTCGCCACCCCTCTCCACCCTGTGCCCTGCCTCCCTCCACAGGGAAAACCCCTAGCTAGAGTTTTGTTTATCATCTCCCATCCTACTTTTAAAAACTAGTTTTTTCATCTTTCGATTCATGTCTGAACAGTTTTTTTTAGTTGGCTTCAAGCTTCTTAAGGCCTCAGCTGTGTGGGACTTGCTTTCGTCACCCAATCCTATGTGGCTGCGTGATGCTCTTTCTGGGAATATACCAGTTTGTTTATTCATTCTCCTGCTGAAGGGTATTTGGGTTGTTTCTGGGTTTTGGCTGCCGTGAACAGTGGCGCTGTAAACGTCCTCGAAGGTGACTTCCACAGCCCGTGTTCATTCATTTCTCTTGGGTGTACACTCGGGAGTGGGACTGCTGGGCGGGCTACAGGTGTTAGTGCTTTAAATTACAAATGTGGTAAGTACCGCCTTGTAAAAAACAAACTATTCAAAAATGAGCGTTCCTCCTCCTCTCCCACATTCCTCACCTGAACCTCGGGTGAACTGTGGGGAGCGTCTCCTCTAGGCCTTTCTCCAAGCACATAGTATGCGTTTGTGCAAAGCTGGTGAGGGCGGGTTGTGGTCAAACCCTGGCATTTTGGAGGTTTTGTTTGATAAGCAAGACCATCATCTCAAGTCTCAAGGGTAAGGAGGCCTAGTTTGGCTGACCTCTGACCCCATCCCACCAGGGTCTCTCATAGAGCTGGACCCAGGGAGGAGAAGGCAGGGCTCAGAGCCTTTTATAATCTTTCTCAAGCCTCTGGCTACCCACCCAGGCCCAGCTCTTAGCTTTTCTCCCTCCTGCAGGATGAGAACATGGTGAGCTTCATCAAGGGCGGCATCAAAGTTCGCAACAGCTACCAGACTTACAAGTGAGTGGGGCTGGCCAGGGGTCTGGGACACGGCATCTACTACCCTGTGCCTCTCAGGCTGCTTGTGGGAGGTAGGAGCACTGGCTGGAGGCAGGAAGCCTAGAATGCGGTGTGATCTCAGGCAGATTTCTGCACCCTCAGGACCTCAGTTTTCTGGAATAGGATTCCCCTGGTTTTCTTGGGTGTATCTGTTGATTCCCCTGAGTGTTCACTCTGTGCCTGACCTTGAACTAAGGAAACATAAAAGATTCTTCACAAACAGCTTGGTATGGTGGGGGCAGGAGGAGAGAAAGTTATTTTGAGAATAGCAACAGAACTCCTCCTACACATGCGTTAAGGCCCAGTCCAACTGCCACTTTCCCCGCGCAGCTTCCCTGACCTCTCCGTTACACAGGGCTGGTACCCTCACAGCCCACCTGCCCTCAGATGGGGGCTACCCAAGGGCCAGATCATTTCTGTGCCATCTCAGCCCTGGGCAAGTCATAGGCCATGTTTATGCTCAACATAGAGCACTTTTACTTAACATGGTGCCAGAAACATCTATCATTCCAAAATCCAAAAAGCTCTGAAACCGCACCCCCTAGCCTGCTCCAGGTTTGGCATTAAAAATCAGTTTCCATTAAAAATTGAATTGACTTGGGAATATTTATCATTTCTATTTACCCCATTTAATGTGACCGTTTCCCAGCAGAGATGTTTTGAGTTTGACGGCAAGGTATTGCTGGGTGTAACCCGCCATGCAGTGGGCACCACAAACGTGGGGTCTGTGCTGGAATTGTGCAAGGGAAAGCAGACAAGCATTCTGGCTCCTGCAGTCTCCCCACCAGCTGCCAGAGTGATGTTTCCAAAGCACAAGCCTCTGCCAAATCCCGAGGCTCTTCCTGCTCTTAGCGCCAAGTCCTGGGTCATTGCCAAGTCATTCCTGAGAGCCCCCTGCCCTCCTTGCCACGTGTCCCAACCCACTCTGCCTTAGACTTAGGCTCTCCTTCAGTCCTTCTACCATGCCAAGCTCATTCCGACCTCACAGACTTTGGACATGTTGTTCTCTCTGCCAGGAGCACTTTCTGTCCAGGCTCATCCCTTAGTTTTCAGTTCAAATGTCGGCCCCTCAGGGAAGCCTTGCCTGAACCCAGACCAGGTTAGACCCCAGGGTTCTTCTCCTTTGAGGCCCTCCTTACCTTCACAGTGACTCGATAGGGGTCTGTCCCCTAGAGTGGGAGGCTTGGGAGGGTAGCAGCTTGGTGGCTTTGCTCCCTGCTGTCCCTCCCTGCTGTCCCTCAGTGCCCGGCCCAGTGTTTGCTGATTAAAAGCCCTCAAGATGCTCGTGGCGAGGTAGAAGGCAGGCACATCTTTATTTTTTTATTTTTTTAATTCTTACCGGATGATATTTTTCTATTTATTTTCAGATAGAGGGGGAGAGAGAGAGATAGAAAGAAACATCGATGTGAGAGAGATGCACATCGACTGGTTGCCTCCTGCGTGACCCCTACCAGGGCCAGGGCCAGGGCCAAACCACAACAATTGAACCCGTGACTCTTTGGTCCACAGGCCAACGCTCCAACTGTTGAGCCAAACCGCCCAGGGCAGCAGGCACATCTTTAAAGCCTCTGTCCTGTCCCAGGCAGGCGGGGGTGTGGGCTTTGTACAGTTGGTAGCTGGGGGAATAGAGGGCTGGATTCAAACCAAGAGACCCCAGAAGACTTCCTAAAAGAAGGGGTGTTGGGGTTATCCCAGTGCTTCTCAACTGGGGGTAGTTTTGCCGGCGACATTTGGTGATGTCTAAAGACATTTTGGTTGTCTCAACTGGCATCTAGTGTGTGGAGGTTAGGGATGCTGCTAAACAGCCCATGATACACAGGGCAGCTTCTCCCCCGCAAAATAACTGTCCAGCCTACAATGTCAGTAGTGCTGAGGTTGAAAAAGTGTTTTAGACAAAATGCACAGCACAAACAAATGCTTAGATGTTGGACAAGGCAGGTGCATGTAGCTGTTATGGCTGATATTTATGGGCAAGGAGTATGTCATATGTCATTACGGTGGGAGATATGTTGGAAACTCCTGAGTGTCAGCTTTCCGGATTGCTGGAACTGTTCCAAATCTACCACCAGTGAGTTCTGAGACCGGCTGGGAACGGGCAGTGTTAGGCCCAGCTGGAATGAGACCCAGCCCCCAATACGTGGTTGAAACAGGACTTTGCTTCCCTCTGCAGGGAGCTGGACAGCCTTGTGCAGTCCTCACAGTACTGCAAGGGAGAGAACCACAGGCACTTTGAAGGAGGTGTGAAGCTCGGTGTGGGCGCCTTCAACCTGGTGAGTGGGAATGCCCTCCCATGTCCAGTGTCTGGGCTCAAGATTAATCTCCCCTGCACATCCCAGCTGCACACATGGTTGCTGGGTTTCTGTACTGGCCCTGTGCCAACCCTGGGACCCAGCAATGAAGCAGACATGGTGCAGCCTGGGGACTTACAGCTGGGTGGAGTGGGAGTTGGCGCTGGCTCCAGAGTCCCTTCTGTGCCTTTCTTCCCAGGTCAAGTTGAAAGCTTAAAATCTACACAGTGGCAGTATATGTAGCACCAGAAATGTACAGACAATAAATCAGGGCCTTTGCAGCCCTGGAGAGCTGGTGGGTAAACCGTGACCAGTGGCAGGGGAGGAGACAGGCCCAGAAACAGCTGATGACCCACAGGGACCAGAGAGCCAAGCTCCTTCCTGAGGGAGTTGGAGAAGGTTTCATGGAGAGGGTAGTATTTGAGCTGGATCTTGAAGCATCTATAGGTGGGGGAAGCTTTCCAGGCAGGGGAGGGCATTCTAGGCTGAGGGAACAGTGAGTTGAGGCAGAGAGGCTCAGAAGAGCCGTGTCTGCTCCTGGGAGGAACTACTCATGGACAATTTTGTCTCCTGGCCTGGGGACCTTTCCAAAAATGGTGGTGGTGGTGTGTGTGGTGGGATAGGGGGTGGGAGCGGGTTTCTCCACTTCAGGCAAAACCTGTTCCAAGAGCAGGGGTGGGGGAGGGGTCCCTGTCCCGCTCTAAGTTCCAGTTTTCTCATATGTGAAATGGGAGCAGGGGTCCTGGACCAATGCTGAGAAATACAGCTTGAAAGTGCATTGGATGCTGCGGCAGGTTATAGTTGGACCATCCTGGGTTCAAGAACTGGTTCCACCTCTGATGAGCTTTGGGGCCTTGGACATGTCCTGTCACTGACCTGTTTCTTCATCTGTCAAAAGGGTCAGTAAACCCTTCTGTGCAGGACTGTTCTAAGGATCAATTGCAATGATGGCCCCTGGTGCAGAGTAGGGATTCAGTGTAACAACAATAGCTAACTGTTATGTGCAGGCCCCCTACTATGTGCTTTACGTATATTGATTTGGTCCATCTACACAGTACCCCTATGAGGTAGGGGCTATTATTCTCATTTCACAAGTGAGGAAACTGAGGCATAGAGAGGATATGTCACCTGCCCAAGGTGACCCAGCTGGGAGTGTGAGACTCAGATTTGGGCGCAGTCTGCTCCTGTTGCGCTGATACTTCTGTCAGGGGAAGCTGGCTTTCCAGCAAACCCGGGGCATTTCAGTTACAGGGCCTGCGCCTCAGGGTCACCCCCAGGACTCTGGGGGTTTGGGGAGTGGGAGGAGCAGCTCACCCCTCCATGTGCCCACCTGCCTCTGTTCCTGCAGACGCTGTCCATGCTTCCTACTAGGATCCTGCGGCTGTTGGAGTTCGTGGGGTTTTCAGGAAACAAGGTAACTACGTGCTTCTGGGGCCCTCGACCCCCTCAGCCTCAGGACGAGCTCAGCTGGACGAGGTGCAGATAAGGGGCTGCGGGACCGAGGTGCCAGTTCTGGCTCAGCTCCCTGGGTGTGTGGCCCTGGACAAGACCCAAACCTCTCTGGGCCTCAGTCTATTCTCCAGTCAAGTGGGACCAGTGATCCCTGGCTAGCCACTCACAGGCTGGAGGCTCTGGGGCTAGGGTGGGTGTGAAGGGCAGCCTTGTGCAGGGGCCTGGGGGCTTGCTCTCTGAGCCTGACAGGTGTCAGGAACTTGGTTCTTCTCCCCTCAGAAGACCTGGAGCAAGTCTCTTCCCCTGGGACTATATTCTGGTCTGGAACATGCTCAGAAGCCCTACTATGCATCAGGCCTTGAGGGCAGAAACCAGACTGACTTTACTGAGGCCAGGAACCTGAGTTCCAGATAGCACATCAGGGAGGGCTCCCTGGTGGAGGAGGCCTGGCATGACGGAAGGAGCATTGGCCTAGAAGGCATCCCCCTCTCCCTGTGACTCTAGTTTCAGTAAAACAAGGGGCTTTTTTAAGACCAGGTCCGGGTTTCTGAAGAACTTTTCCTGGCCCTTGCTGATAATTGCCATGTCCAGGGACCTCTATATTATTATTACTTATATATTTTTTTTCTCAAAAGTAGCTCATAATTTTTATTTGAATTTATTTAAGGTAAATATACTACACTGATAAGAGTATAGTCATAACAGTAAATACTGTGAGTACCAAACAAGCTTACGAAAGCCCAGCTCGGTTGTGTGGTCTGTCTAGGCTGTTCCCCTTCATGAGGAAGAGAGCTCAGAGCCAGAGCGATGGTGAACACACACCGTATAGGACTGAGGTGTTCTTCCGGACACCGTCAGACAGACAGATAACCAAGAAGGGAAGACCCTTGCGTGGGACCGTCTGCTTCCTCACGCCTGTCTGTGGACCTCTGAAATCTCCGTTGCCATGTGGTCCATGGCCTCGGCCGGGGAAACACTGGCCAGAGTCTTTCTTAAAAGCACTCTTGGGTCATGAGAAGGATTTCAGGATGATGATGGGAGGGAAGAGTGTGAGAAAGGCCGAGAAGTGGGACAATGTAGCCTGCCTGGCCAGGGAGAGAGGGTGACGAAGCCAGAATGGAGAGACCTCCCGCACCAGCTCTGGCCCCGTCTTCATCCTGAAAGCAGGGAGCCATGGAGGGTTTGAGGCAAGGCGGAAGCAGGTCATATTGGTATACTAGAAGGGACAAGAACACCCTGGAGGACAGACTGAGAGGCAGAGACTTCAGACATGATACGAGGGGGGAAGGAGGTGGTTCTGCTCCTCCCCAGTCAGGCTCTGAAGCCTTCTCCTCCAGGAAGCCTTCCCAGACCACAGTCTTTGTCATCCCATCTATGCTCTGAGCCTGTGGTTAGGATTATCTGCCTCCTTGTCATTCCTCCTCCCTTTACCAGACCTGGGGCTGCTCAGGGCCTCAGCACCCACCATAGGCCAAGCAAGTGAATAAAGGGAGGAATGGGTGAGGGGCTGTTGAGGAGGTGGGGACACCCAGACCCAAGATTTGCCTTGGCCTGGGCAGCAGTGTACGCTCCCCCCAGGAAGGTGGCCAAGGCAGTGGGAGGGCAGCCCCTTGCCCAGGGTTGCACAGCCTGGGGGCAGCTGACCCTGCCTCCTGGGTCTAGTGATTTGCCCTGCCCCCAGCTCCAGGAGCATTGCCCTCACAGATGTCCAGTGACCTCCAGGCCTCTGTCCCTCCATGGGTCCCAGGGTGGGCCCTGGGGAGCCCAGGCCTAGCTGGCTTCAGCCTGTCCCTGTGTACCCCAGGACTATGGGCTGCTGCAGCTGGAGGAGGGCGCCTCTGGGCACAGCTTCCGTGCGGTGCTCTGCGTCATGCTGCTGCTGTGCTACCACACCTTCCTCACCTTTGTGCTCGGTAGGAGTGCCCTTGGGTCAGTGCGGGGGCCTCTGGGGTGTGGTTGGCTCTAAGGGCAGGGGTCAGGAGGGCGAGGAGCTACATACCCTGACTGGGCCTCTGAGACTGGGAATGGGGCGCTGAAACCACAAACAACAGAGCACAGCAGCTGTCCCGGGGCCTGTTGACCCCTCACTTCCTCATAGTTTGACTGGGTCCTGGCCTCAGTTTTATCATCTGTGAAATGGGGATGCTCATGCCCACCTTGTAGAGGGTGTGAGGACACTGTAGGCAGCTCCTTGGGGTTCTAGGCACAGTTTGGTGGGCATGGACTCTTAGTCATTGAGCCCTGTGATATGCTCAGGGTGACATTTGTGCTCTTACTTCATCCTTACATCACTCTGGAGATGGAAGAATATTATCCCCATTTCACATAAGGAGAAAGAGGCCCCGAGAAGCCCCTGGTAGGTCACTGGGAAGATCACAGGAGCGGGTGGTGGCGGTGACATGTGTTGTACCCCCACCTCCTTCAGGCACCGGGAACGTCAACATCGAGGAGGCAGAGAAGCTTTTGAAGCCCTACCTGAAGCGATACCCAAAGGTGAGCTTCACCTCCTGCCAGACACCCCAGCCCACGTGTACCCCATGGGCCCACATGGACGCACATGTATGTCTTTGCAGGGCGCCATCTTCCTGTTCTTTGCAGGGCGGATTGAAGCCATTAAAGGCAACGTTGATGCGGTGAGTATTGGGGGCCTTGCAGGCCAGCAGAAGTCAGACACACAGATATACTTGGGGACAGGGCCAGCTGCGGGGAGGGACGCCCCAAGAGAGGACCAGCAGGAGAACAGGAGTGGGAGAGGCACTTCCAGGCACTCTGGGAAGATGGGGAGAAGGGGCATTGTCAGGTAGGACTGCGACGGGGAGGCTAGGACGACAGCCTTCCTGGAGAGGGAGGTGTTCGAGTGAGGCAGGGCATGGGAAGACCCACTTATTCAGGACATGGTGACAGGCTGGAGCCTGGTGAGTGCAGTGCAGCCCGGTGCCAGGGAGTGAGGACTCCATAGGTGGGAGGGAGCCATCGGAGGGGTTAGAGGAGGATCACAGTCCTGGCAGAGACCCCAATACTAGGCCAAGGCCCAGGACATACTCCACAGTGTGGAATTTTGGGGTCTCCCGCTGGCCTGGATGTGACTTCTCAGGCATCAGGACAGATGCTCCAGGTCCAGGTCACTTCGTAGGAGGCACTGAAACCTTTGGAGTTTGCTCTGAGGCACACACATTATTATATCGCTTTATTATACTTTCCATTGCCTGTTCTCCCTGCATTATTATAGCTCTATCTCGTCCTTCACTTTGTGACCGAAAGACTAGCGCCCCAGAGAGGGGCAGTAACTGGGCCCAAGGTCATGTAAGACTTAGGGGGAATTGTCAGGACTGGAGGCCGATCTTCTGGCACAGGGCTAGACCACCGTGTGCTGGAGGACGCTGGGCCTATAGCAGAGCTGGGCTGCTGCAGAGGGTGCAGAGAGGGGTGGGCGCTGACCAGCAGGGGCCCACAGGCTGTCCGGCGGTTCGAGGAGTGCTGTGAAGCCCAGCAGCACTGGAAACAGTTCCATCACATGTGCTACTGGGAGCTGATGTGGTGCTTCACCTACAAGGGCCAGTGGAAGATGGCCTACTTCTACGCCGACCTGCTCAGCAAGGAGAACTCCTGGTCCAAGGTGGGTCACACCAAGTGCTGGGGACACTGGGGGGCCAGGCCAACTCAGATTGTTTATGCGCCCTCAGACCAAGGGCCAAATCCCTAACTGAACACAATGTCCCAGCTGGAATTTAAACAGGGCCATAACATCTAATAGGACGCAGGGTTGGAGGGAACTAAAGACCATGAAGAAGAGAGAAACTTAAGAACTATAATGTGTCGGTCAAGATTTTTAGTCACAGGGGACAGAAACATGGCTTCCACTGTCTAGGTGAGTGCTGTCCAGTAGAACCTTCTGCTCTGTGGAAATGTTCTATTTCTGCACCATCCAGTATGGTAGCCACCAGCCACACGTACGCACTGAGCACCTGAAATGTTCCTAGTGCAACAGGGAAACTAGCTGTTTTCAATTTTATTTAATTTTAATTCATATATAAATTTTAAAAGTCCCATGGGCTAGTGGCCACTGTATTGGACTGTGGGTCTAGAATACAAAAGGCTCGTTGGTTTATACAATAGAAAATTCTAGGCAAACTGACTTCAGGTAGGGCTGGATCCAGGAATTCCATTTATGTCATCTGGGCTTGGTTTTTCCACCTGTGATGTGCTCTCCTCTATGACATCTTTGTTGTTCAGGCAGGTTCTCTCCATGTGACAGGCAGGGTGGCCATGGGCTAGCTGCTCCTAATTCATATCTTCCCTTTGGTTTCGACCAAAGTCCCACAATAGAGCCTCATTGGTCTGCATAGATTGCATGTCAATGCCTGGAGACAAGGGTGGGAAGACTAATGGATGGGGAGCAGAAAAGGGGCGGTTCCCCAGAAGAAAGGTGAGGTGATGTCCCCAAAAGAAGCATTGTGGGGAGGGGAGCATTAAAGAGATGCTATGTAGCCTGGCCGGTGTGGCTCAGTGGTTGAGCATCAATCCACATGCATCAAGAGGTCTCCAGTTTGATTCCTGGTCAGGGCACATGCCCAGGTTTTGGGCCCGGTCCCCAGAGCGGGGCATGCAGGAGACAGCCAGTCGATGTTCCCCCTCATTGCTGTTTCTATTTCCTTCTCCCTTCCTCTCTCTCTAAAATCAATAAAGAAAAAAAAAATTTTTTTTAAAGATGCCATGTAGGCAAAACAGGTGCCCACCACAGATGAAAAAATAACATCAAGAAAAGTGGTGAAATAAATATTAGCCATTATCATCATAGTAATCTTAGCACAGAATCCTGAACAAAGAGTTTTAGAATCATCTAGATAATCAGAGAGCATCTAATCTGGTAATATTGGCAAATACATAGCAGGTGTCTCAGTGTCTTTAAGTCCCTAGTCCTCATCCCTCCCCACCTCTGCACAGAAGTCCTTTTTCAGAACCCCTGCCTGGGGACCACTCTGAAAGGGAATTCTCTGCGTGTGGGGCAGGTGAGGCTGGGGGAGGGACAGGCGTTCACCGAGGGCCCAGCACCTGCCATTTCCTCTACACCACACCCAGCGCGGTAGAAGTTATCTCCATTGGGCACACGGGCCACTGTGGCTAAGAGAGGGTGTGTGACTTTCCTGGCCCACATAGCAGTTGGTGACAGACACTAGACTTGAAGACAACTGTGTGTGACTCAAAGGCCTCTGCTTTCCCCTTGTTCCTTAAGTCTTCCCGAGGAGGCCCAGCCTGCCCTGAGACCACCCTGCTGTTAAAGGTGCTGCCCCAGCCCCAGCCCCAGCCCCTGTGGACCTGGCCTTCATTCCTCATCTCTTCCCACTCCCAGTAAGAGCAAAGACTCCCGGAACTTTTGAACTAGTGACCTAGAAGCCTTCCTGTGGAGTCAGCCGGGCAGCTGGTCCACCCACGTGGGGAAGCGGTGTGTGAATGGTGCACAGCTGCTGTGAGCAGAGGGCGGGCCAGGCCTCCCAGGTGTCAGGCAGTGTGGCTATGAGTCAGCGCAGTCTCCAGCTTGCTGTGTGACTTTGGGGTGGTCAGACTCCCCTCTCTCCAGTGCTTTCCTCAGAAGGGTTTCCTGTGAAAGTGGGGGTTGTAGCACCCTGAGTTCCTAATCTCCAGGCTTTGACCACCACAGAATCCACCAACTTGCAGCTCTATGGCTGTGGCATCCTCTCTGCCGGGGTACACCTCCCTGGGGAGGCTTTACATTTCCCTCAGCTTGCGATGGCCGGAAACTAGGTGGTGACACTGCTCAGTGCTGCAATGGGGGGACGGGAGCTCAGAGGCAGCCCTGGGCTGCCCAGCTGTGAAGCCAAGGGAGGCTTCTGGAAGAGGTGACAGGAGGATTTAGGGTGGAGGGTGGAGGAAGTGCAAGGACACCCCGAGCCAAGAGAACAGCAAGGACAAAGGCTCGGAAGCCAGGTGCTCCTAAGAGGTTCTGTGTCACCAGGTGAAGGGTCGTGGGTAGAAGTGCAGGGGGACTATGGAAAAACCATCCACTTTAGGCCACTTGCTGTAGCTTTTGATGACAAGGACGTATTTGATTGCACAGACTCTGGTAGAGTAACCCAGAAAAATAAATGTCTGGAATCAATGGGCAAACAGTTAGATACTCTGGGGAGATAGGACTCCCCTCAGAGGAGGCGGTTACTGTTTTCCATCAATGTGGCCCATATAATCCCTTGATAACTCCATGTCCGTGGTGTCACAACTCTGGGTCGCTGCATCCACTGGATCACCTCGTGACTCGGGGGATAAGATGTCCAGAAGAGTAGGAGAAGGCTCTTAGAGGAAGCCAGCAGATAAGCCTTGTGGAGAAAGAACAACATCCTAGGTGGAGGAAAAACACAGGCAAAGGCCTGGAGTGAGTTTAAGGGGTGATGGGAAGTAACTGGCAAAAGAGGAGCCAGAACAGCAGGTCACAGAGGGCCCTGAGTGGCTATTGGGGCTTTAGTCTGACCATAAAGGAGCCCATGATGGTTGTGGCTTAGATTTGGGCTTTAAGAAATCCCTCCTGCAGGTACTGGGCACCCCCACCTGAAGCTGAGTGCCTTTGATGTGCTTTGGAAATGGCCCAGAGACCAGTGCGGTTAGAATGGTGTGAGGGAGGGGGACACAGTGGGAGATGAAATTGGAGGGGAAATGGGGGAGGGGGCGCTGGATGGGGCCTCGCAGGCCCTGCAAGGGGGTCTGTTTTATCCTAAGTGTGATGGGATACTATGAGCACATTTCAAGGATGGACTGATGTAATTTGATTTAAAAAGATCTGATTGGCATGGTGTGGGAAGTGGCTGGCAGGGGACAGGAGTGGGAGCAGGAAGATCAGTTAGGAGACCATGTAAACTAGGGCAGTAGAAAGACATCCCTGGTGGCCTGGAGCAGGGAGCAGTGTGGAGGCTGGTGTAATAATTGAGGTGAGTGACAGGGCAAGGCCAGTGGTATCAGAGCTAGATGCGAGGTACAATCAAGAGGACTTAGTGACGCAGTCCCAGGATGGGGAAGAGGGAGAAGGCAAGGATGACACCAGGAAGGTGAAGATGGGATGGGGAACAAGTTTCAAGGAGTGGAGATTCTTCCGACCACACCCCCACAAAAACCAGCTCTTTCACATCTGTGAAGGGCAGACTGAGGTGTGGAGGCCAGAGTAGAGCTGGGAGGAGCCCTGAGCTTCAGCATGGGTGAGGCCACCAGGTGGCTGCTTTCCACCTTCTCCAGAGACTAAACTCCAGGATGTCCTGCTCCGGTTCCTCCTCCACCCACTACGCTTCGCTAGGCCGATGGCAGAGCGGGGCGGCAGGAGCTATGTTTCAAGGCTCGACCACTGGAGGGCAGACAGAGCCAGGCTCCTCGGGCACAGGACTTAGGGTGAAGGGGTGCAGCTTTCAGGGTCCCTGGGAGGAAGGAGGGTTCTGCACAGCCGCACCTTCCCTGCCAGGGGCGGCTGTGGATCCAGTGGACAAGGTCCTTAAAGCTACACAAACCTGAGGGTGACCCCTACCTAGCTCTGCCCGCAGCAGCTTTGCGGTCCCAGGAAGCAGAGGGTAGGTACAGATTCCTTTCTGTCATTGTCTTTGGGATCAAGGGAAGTGATGGATGTAACGTGCCCAGCACACAGTAAGGCAGCACCACCAAGGGATCCCGAACAGAGCTGTGACCCGGGCCCTGCTCACTCTTCTGGCTTCACACCTCTTCTTTTATGCACCCCATTCTTTATATCCCTATTTGTTTCTTGCTTATACACAGGCTCTGCTCAGGCTGTTCCCTTTGCCTGGAAAGTCCACTCTCAGGGTCTCTGAATCTTCCTGTCGGCATGCAAGGGCCCCATCTGAAGTAATTGCCTCCCAGAAGCCTTTGCTGCCCAGTCTTCATGTGTCCAGCCCAGCCTCCATCCACTAATTGGAGTCGTTCTCCATTGCTTGGGAGTGGAGAGGACAGCAGCTGCTTTGACATGGGCCTGTTCTGGATTTAACTCCCAGCTCAAGTCCCTCAGTTTCTCCCTTGGGGCTTGAGGATAATGTTAGCTCCTATGCTGGGCCAAATGAGGTATTTGTGCCAAACGAGGTCCAAATGAGTTGCCACGTGGGTTGTGGTTTCCTCAGCTGTTTCCACGGGCAGAGGAAAATGTGGTCTGCAGCTCAGCAAACCTCACAGCTGGGGCCTCACCATGCAGTCCTGGCTGGGATTGGAAGGTGGGTCCTCACACCTGACTCTTGCTCTGCCTCTCACAGGCTACCTACATCTATATGAAGGCTGCCTACCTCAGCATGTTTGGGAAGGATGACTACAAGCCGTTCGGGGATGACGAAGTGGAGTTGTTTAGGTGAGTCCTACCATTGCACCCCCATTGTAGGCCTCAGCCAGGCTCTATCCAGATACCCAACTGTGAGTACCAGGGAGGGCGGTGGTGGGGTTGTCATCACCCCTGGCCCTGAGCTCCCTGACCCTCCCCCAGGATTGTCCCACATGTCCGTCATTCCCTTTTATCACTACCTTCTCCTGCTTCTACTTGTTAGAGCCCTTTGAATCTGTTCAGAGGCTTTCTTTCACCAAAGTGGTTTTGTCAACATCCTTTCCACCAGGTCAACATCTTTCATCAGGTCAGTAGGACAGATGTGGACACTGAGGTCCAGAGATGTCCCTTCTGCTGGGTTAACCTGATAACTCAGAGCAGCACAGTAGAGCCGAAGAACTGGAGCGAACAGGATTAAATACAGCCTTTGCCTTTCTTACCTCGGACAATTTTAGCGTTTATAAAACGCTAATCTCTGCCTTGCAGAATCAAATAGATGCTTGTTTTGCAAATCAAATAGAGAATATATTTAAAGAGCCCGGTGTAGGGCCTGGAGCCACTAAACGGTGGCTGTTATTATCTGTTCTGCTTCTGCAAAGGGTCCACAGCAGGGCTCAGCCTTGCAGTTTGAGATGGAGTTTAGGGCCTTCCTCCAGTTGTGGTGAGGACTGGCCTTGAAGTAGGAGTAACTTGACCTTATTGGGTGTTTGTCACTTACTGAGTGCCTCTGTTCCTCCATCTTACATAACTCTCCAAGAAAGCCTATGACAATAAGTATTTGTGGGGGAGGAAGATAATTTTTCCTCTCTTCCTCTAATAAAAAAACAGATTAATAGGAGAAAAACAAACAGAAGTTTAATAACATGTATGCTTCCTGTATATGTGGGAGAGACCAGAAAAACTGGATAACTCCCTGAATGGCCCAAGCCACCGCCTAAATACCATCTCCAACTAAAGACAAAAGATGATGTTGGGCCCTGGCCAGTTTAGCTCAGTGGTTGGAGCATTGGCCTACGGACCAGAGAGTCCCGGGTTCAGTTCCTGCTAGGGGCACGTACCAAAAAAAAAAAAATGATGTTGGGATGGGGAGTCACTTACAGAGGTTTTCAGACAAAACACAGTAAAGGAGGGTATGGTCATTACACAGATTTAAGTCTCTACCTTCTCCACTGGTAAGTTTCTAGAAATTTAGTCATTTTCCTCTTCCTGACAGAGAGGGAGATACCCTAACAGATGGGGATTTCCCTTATAAATATCAATCTCTCTCACAAAAGGTAACTTCCAGGTTTTCAAGAGTTTTTCCTATGTCTGCTATTTCTTAAAAATAACCAGCCTAAATCCTTATGCCAAAGAGGCACATTGTGGGCTGACAAATTCTGCTCCCCTTCATATCATTATCTCCATTTTAGAAATGGGAAAAAAGGCCCGGAGAGGTTCGACAATGAATAAGCAGGGGAGGCATTTCGTGGGGGGACCTCACAACTAGGTCCAGCTGTTTCCTGGGCCTGAGCAGCTCAGGCTTGAGGATCACAGCCACACCCTGCGACTGTGGCAGAAATCAGAGGGTGGGATGGAGCTGAGTGGGCGAGGCCCCAGAAATGGAGGCTTGCCTAACTGCATACCACATTTTACTCTGCCCTTGGAAACGGCCGAGGAGGCCACCGCTCCCATGGCAAGAGTTAAAGGTTCGAGCTGTGCGGTCTTGAGCAGGTCCCTTCGTTTCTCTGGGTGTTAGTCTCTCCTGTGGAATGGGGTCAGACTCCCACAGGGCTCTCCAGAAATGGGGCCTGGGGAGTGGGCGCACTTGTGTATATTCTCACTTCTGCCCCCTGATGTGGATGGAGCCCCTTGCCTCGCCACAGGAAGTGGTCAGGTCTGGGACAGGACCTGTGAAATAAGGCCATAGCCATAGGCTATGAGTCCAACAGTATCATCGTATAGATGGGGAAACTGAGGCCCAGAGAGGTGCCACGCAGACACAGGCAGTTTGGGGACTCTCAGTTCTTTGCTTTTTCTCACTCTCCCCCACCTTCCTCATCTCCTTTGCAGAGCTGTGCCAGGCCTGAAACTCAAGATTGCTGGGAAATCTTTACCCACTGAGAAGTTTGCCATCCGGAAGTCCAGGCGCTACCTCTCCCCCAAACCTATCTCATTGCCAATTCCTGCTCTGGTGGGTAGGAGGGTCTTTATTGGCTCTACATTCCAGTTTGGGATTGTAGGGATTAGCTGAGAGCCAGGGATACAACCATGGACCCAGAGGAAATGGATGAGGGAGATAGACTTTCGTGCCTCAGGGGCCTAGAGAGGATTTTATCATTCACCTAGGATTTGGGGGGACAGATGAGGCTGAGCCAGCCCTTGCCTCTGAGAATGTACTGGTCTTCTGGGGGTGGGGCTATGAGTGGAGAGACAAGTGAGCAGCCCTCCTAGACAGCCCCACACCCTGTCCCCACGCAGAAGCATCACTCAGCTGTTTGTGTTCCTACCCTGTTTGTTTCAGTCTTGTCACATGATTGTAATTGTTGTTTACACTTGTTCCCTTCACTGGACCAAGATTTTCTGTCGACTGTTATAGTCAACTCTGAAATAACAATAATAGATGATATTGTTCTTGGGCATTTGCTGTGTTCAAGTTTCCTTACACCCAATACCCACGGCCTCATCTGATCCTCACAGTAACCCTATGAGCAGGTGCTGGTGGTATTTCCATTTTACAGATGGGGATATTAAGTCCTACTATAAGTAATACAAGTAAAAACACATAAAGGGATAAGGTATAAGTAGAAAGATAAAATAATTGTCCAGGTCACACAACTAGTAAGTTAAGAGTCAATATTTGAGCCCAGATAGTCTGGTTCCTGAGCCCACATTCAGGACCACTGTTATGATTCCATGCATGATTTTAGCAGGCATCAGAGAAGGTTCCAGTTTGTTAGGAGTCGGAGTCCTTGCTATACAAATAGTTGGGCAGCTAGAAATGTAGAAAAGACCTTCAGAGACCTTTTATTGGTCCTGGATCTGCTATTCACTAATGTGTGACTTTGGGTAGAGTCCTCCTTCCCTTGATGTAAAATGGGGATAGTATATGCCTGGTCCATTTCATAGAACAGTTATGAGAATCAGCTGATAAAATGTTAGACACTTTATAAATAAGCTTAATATTTATAGAATTTCCTTAGAACTTGTATCCTGAATATATTTAGAAATATTTTATAAAGTAAAGCTATTATCATTGAGTTGTGTGCGTGTGTGTTGTGTGTGTGTGCGTGTGTGTGTGGGGGGGGGGTTGTAAGGAAGGGCAGGAAAGCATCGATTCCCAAAATTTAGGAGATAATTTCCCAGACTATAATCTGAAAAGTGTCATTTATGTGTAAAATGATTTCTGTGATTAAATATGTTGGGTAAGACTATTCTAAACAAAGTCTATATAATGTAGATCTTAGAGCTTTTATATACCAGTCAGTAGGGTAAGTCTGCAAGAAGCTTGAATACAGTTTTTCCCTAACTCATTTGGCCATAGAACTTTTTTTTAAATGGAATTATTTGCTAACTTGGGACCATATAATGATTTTCAGAAATAATGGTCTAAACTTAAATTCCCTCCCTGGAACATAGTAACAAGAACCATAACAAGAATGTCTTTCTAGAATTTTATGTATATAAATCACTTTCACATCTATTACTCAGTTTGATAGGTTAGAAAATGCTAACCTAACAGAATTACTATGAATTGAACACATTAGTATTCTGAGCCTCCTAGCGGTCAAGGCAGAAAAAGGAATCAGGGTATGTTTCATGGTTTTCATGATGGTAACTCAAGCTCAGCACCTTGGGAGAACAAGAATGGTGACAGTCTTAAACTCTATTGGAAATCCTGAAGTGCTGAAATAAATTATTTCCCCAATATTTAGGAGCTTAGAGGGCCTTTAGTAATCCTTTGATCCGAGCTGCCCATTTTACAGATGGGGAAACTGAGGCCCCATTGAGGAAACCTAGGACTGACTTGCTCCCCTACCCTCAGGAAATGATGTACATTTGGAATGGCTACGCTGTGATTGGGAAGCAGCCAGAACTCACAGACGGGATCCTTGAGATTATCACCAAGGCTGAAGAAATGCTGGAAAAGGGCCCAGGTGACTCCTCCAGGCCCTTGAACCAACCAGGCTGGGTCACACCACAGGACTTGCAGTTGAAGTTTCCCTCCACCAAAAATGTCTTTCCTTACTTCTCTACCCTGGTAACTGACCTTTGCCTTTCTAGACTGAGCTTCAACAACAGCTCCTCCAAGCTGTCCCTTGTCCCCCAGGTAGAGTCAAGGCCTCTGATGGGCTCCCATAGCTCCTGGGCTTCCTTCAGTCAGCCTTGATTTCACTGTATTGTCCTGTCTCAGTATCTGTCTTTCCTTCCCAGATGTGAGCTCCCCGAAGACAGGGACTATGTGTGAGTCACCTGTGTCCCCAGGGCCCAGCACAGGGTAGGGATACCACGAGTGTTACAGAGATGAACAAGCCTGTTTTCTTCTCTCACTGCCCCGCTCTCAGAGAATGAGTACTCAGTGGATGATGAGTGCTTGGTGAAGTTGCTGAAAGGCCTGTGTCTGAAATACCTGGGCCGTGTCCAGGAGGCTGAGGAGAATTTCAGGAGCATCTCTGCCAAGTGAGTGCCCCTGTAGTTGCTCCCAATCCAGATGGCCTACTGCTGGGCCTGGTTCTCCTGGGTAGAATTTTCAAGGCTGCTTCTCCTTCATGTGCATTCCAGTTCCTGGCCCTAGCCTTCCCCTATGCACTCCGTGTGTACTAGTATCTACTCTGTGCCGGGGCTCTTGCTGGGCACAGATCATTCAGACTTCATCCCCCAGGGCCACCAGACTGCTCAACCACAGGAGCCCATCCACACTGAATTTCATGTGACTGGTGCCCCTCAATTTGTAATTCATCAACTCTGCCCTTGCCCTTGGGAATCACAAATGTTACAGATAGACAGCTACAGGCAACTCAGGGCTATGGCAGAGGGAAGCAGAGAAGACAGGAGGTGTCCTAACCCTAATGCAAGTCACCAGGAAAGGTGTTTGAAAGATGCTGTTTAAACTGTGAAGTTAATTAGTCAGAGAAAGCAATGGAGGAAGAGTTCTAAGTGGAGTAGGTGCAGCATGTGCAAATACTTGGACACAGAGATGCCTGAGGTTGGAGGGACAGTGATTAGGCTTGCCCAGCCAGGGTAAAATTATAGAGGGAAAGGGTTGCAGATGAAATGAGGTGGCAGGGGGCTCGATTATGAAGGGCCTGGCTGTTTTGCTTACAATACTGAACGTTAGCCTGCAGACAGAAAAGAGCCAGGAAGGATAATAGGCAGGGCAGATCTGGGTTCTAAAAAGATGCTCCTGGGGCAGGATGGTGGGTAGATTAGAGGGGCTAGATTGGAGGCAGAACACTTCCCAATGTAATAAATCATTCAACCTGGAAAAGGGAGTTTGGGGGACTGAGGTGGGAGTGGGCTAAGGATATGACATGAGCCACAGGTTGTTAGGGATTGTGGATCCTAAGCCTTTCTAGGGTTAGGTAGTAGGAACCTTCCCAAGTTGGAATTCAGAGCTGGAAAGCCCACTTGAGGGCATGGCTTGGATCCTCCCATTTGGGGAAGACCTGGGAGGAGAAGCCGGATGGACATCTCAAGGGCAAAGCCTGTAAGCCATGTCCTCCTCTGTCCCACAGTGAAAAGAAGATTAAATATGACCACTACTTGATCCCAAATGCCCTACTGGAGCTGGCCCTGCTGTTTATGGAGCAAGGCAGAAATGAAGAGGCTGTCAAACTCTTGGAAACTGCCAAGTAAGGATTGATTAACCTTGATGAGTTCTTTGCTCCCCTTGGGCTCAGGTTGAGGAGAGAGAGCCCAGGCATCATGAGGGAGGGTTCTGGCAAGCACAATATGGCAGTCCAGAGGCCGGGCCCGTGTCCCTAGGAACCCAGCTCTCACCTACTGTGGGAAGGCTTCCTCTTCAACTCACCAATGAGGAGTTAAAATCCCAGAAGTAGGAAATTAGTTGTCCAGGGTCACACACAAGTCAGCCACTGGGCTGTGTGAAGACCCCAGTGTCCTGCCTTCCAGCCCATAGATCTACCCCTTGAAACCTCAAGTTTGGGAACCCATCAGGACCAAGAATGGTCCCAGGGGGCATATCTGGGTGAGGGGCTACACACCCTTTCTGCTAATCCCTATTAGGCAGGCCCAACTTTCTTTAGACAGAGACAGGGATTAAGGCCTCTACAACTTGTTCTTGGATGGTGGACTCCCACAGCTTAGAATGAAGAAAGAGCAATTCCTGGAGCAGCTCATCTATCTGATTCTCTGGTCTCTTCCAGGCAGAACTACAAGAATTACTCCATGGAGTCAAGGACACATTTTCGAATCCAGGCAGCCACACTCCAAGCCAAGTCTTCTCTAGAGAATGGCAACAGATCCACAGTCTCACCAGTGTCCTTGTAGTTTGGTGCAGAACCCCCAGGCAGGAATACAGACAGCTGGATAGAGCTCCTGGAAACATTTCAAAACTGATCCCCACCCTTGCCCTGCCTTGGGGGTCCACCGGTGCTCCAGTGGGATGGCACTACATGAGTATCCATGAAGAAGCCAAGCCGGCATTTTCACCAGTGTGGCCAAGGTCCTTTGCCAAGGACAGAGCAGGTGGAGCCCTCTGCCTGCCCTATCACATATACGGGTACTTGTTTTTCACTGTGACGTTTAAGAGAATGTATGAACAGTTCACATTTTACTTAGAAATACAATGATGGGACCATAGTTGGCTTTTCAAAAAACCACCAACCAACAACCTGTAAATCTTTGCTTTAACTCATATTGATCTGGAGGTAAATCTGTATGCTGCCAGAGGCCAAACTGCTTTTCAGACTTCAGCAAGGTCTCAGCTTCTGGGGCTGGAAGGACCCTCAGGGCCATCTGCACCTCAGGCTTCAAGGCTCCTGGGGTTGCACACAGAGGCTGTACACAGACACCCATCATCTTACTTCTTATACTTCATTTTAACTCCTTTTATATCTGTCCCAATTTTTAAAATATCAAACATTTCTTTTTAGTCAGATAATTTTCATTTGAGTCCATCTGTAGGGGAAAAAAAACAAAACATCAATCTCCACCAGTAAGGAATGGGGATGCCCAGATATGATGGACTGGGAGCTGTGTGGCTCTTTCAAGAAATTTGGGGGTGGGGGGTTCCTCAGGCTGAAACCACTGGGAATAATTTATAAAATCTTCTGTACTTCACTCTGAGGTACATTTATTTACTGACAGCATTTTTCTTAGAATGGTAATTCTTGGCATATTTTATGTTTTAAAATTTTCCAGTTAAGAGAAAATAGATATTTAGGTAATAAAACATATACTTAAGAGATCATGCAACATCTATTTCAGTAAAATATGTGTTCCTTAAATTTTTAGGCAGGGCAGAAAGTTTGGATTAGAAACCATATGGCCCAGCTATGTTTTACTTAGACAACATGATATTCTAAATATTTTAGAAAAGTTAACATTTAAAAATGGGGAGATTTCACAAAAAATTTGGTTTCTGGCCTCATGGTAAAAAAAAAAAAAAAAAAAAATCTGGCAGTACTGGGCCTCATTACCATAAGGCAGCAAGGCAACCATCAGCTGGAGCTGAGCAGAGGCTACTTCAAATACTTTTATTACTTTTCTGGTCACTAAAAGCACCTGCATTAGCAACCTCTGGGGCTGTTAAAATGAGAACTCCAGTTCAGTGGTCAACACCAAGTTTTACCATTCACAAGCTCATGACAGCGTACTTCAAGTTAACCATTTCCCTAGAAAAACCATGGACAGCCCTGGCTGGTTTGGCTCAGCGGTTGGAGCATCGGCCTATGGACCAGAGAGCCCTTGGTTTGGTTCCCGCTAGGGGCACGTACCCAAAAACAAACAAACAAACAAACAAACAAACAAAAACCACGGACACAGTAAAAATATTCATCTACGAACATGTGACTCCTCAAATACATGAATGCAGTTTCTGTAAAGAAAGGACCACAGACAACTCTTCCAATCTTCCAGCACTGCTGTATTTAGCAAACACTTCTGAGTATCGTGCCAGTGGCTGGGTGGGTTAATCTATTAATATACAGTCAGCCAAATTCCTATGACTGATACTGAATGAAGTAATGGGTTTTAGGTAAGGTATATTCTCCTTAGGGAAAGAAAGCAAAGCAGAAAACCCTCATTCAAGGTCCTCCTTTGCACCTAGTACTGTCAGAGCTCAAATGTTATGAAAAAAGTTCACATTTTGTTAGAACTAGAGCAGCCCTTTGCGAGCTCTCTCTTCCAAAGCCTGGGTGCTGGGAGACCAGTCTGCTTATAGGTTGTTGGGCAGGGCAGGCTGAGAAGATAGCCTTTTGTGGCTCCCCCACATATTAGAACTCTACCTACTGCCGTATGAAAGTAGCACTGGTCATAGGATACCAAATATAATTTGCAAAATAGTTTATAAAAAACATTTATTCCAACATTTTAGGTACTTTTGCTTGTATTTTAAAATTTATGCCAGATGGTTTCCTTGTCAGTGTTTGTTGTTGATTTCTTGCTGGGCTTCATTAATTAGCCTACGTCACCTTTACCTCTGCTGCCCTGGCTGCAGTCTGGCTGATAAGGGAAATCAGTGGATTTTGTCTCCTTTATCCCATCTGCAGAAAGATAATCTCTGAAAAACACGTAAGTGAAGGAGGGTGAACATGTTGGGTATCTGACACCATATCCTTGTGCAGAGGCCTCTGAAGGTGAAACTTCTGTTACAGGCTTCTCACTGCATCTTCTTTGAGCCATTTCTCGTCACTTCTCTTACAGACTTTTCCAGCATAACTGCTCTATTTAGGTAGTTGATCCGGTGGACAGTTTTGGCCTAGAAATAAGGAGACTTGAATTTAAGTCCCTGTTTTGCTACTTACTGATTTTTAGAGTAATCTTGGAAAGTCATAGACCCTCTAAAAATTAGTAATTTGTATTAGATTACTCTCTTTCCTGCTGTCAACAGTTCTAACTCTGGTCAAGTCTATTGGTGGGTTTTCATGTACAAAAATGAGGCAACAGATATATATAACTCTACTTTTTGCCAAAGCTTTGTGAGCCCAATCTACTCACCAGAAATAATAGGCTTCTTCCATCAGGGACTTCGAAAGTAGCCCAGGATACCCAGAAAACAAATAATCCTCATTTGGGGCAAGTGTACATCCTGTGCCACAGAGAAACTCTGTTGTTAGGAAGTAGCAACCGTGTAACATGACCTGAACAAGCCCTTGACAACGGAAAGTCTACCTCTGTCTCTCACTGGTCAGAGGCCTTTGGGATGGCTGGTCCCTATCAGTTCTCCCATGTGTTGGCAGGATTCCCCGTTCCTTATCTCTCAAGTCAGAATGGGAGTGTTTCCAAGACATCTGTTGTCATTCACAGCAAAAAGCCAGAACCTGACAGCAAAGCCTGGGACCCTCAAGGGCCAATGCCAACCCCTTGGCTGAGGTCCAGGTGGGCAATTCCCAGCAACTGAAGAATAGCACCAGGAGGTTTTTAGAAAGCCCTAGCCTGTGAGTACTAGAATCATTCAACAAAGGAATAAAATCCAATGACATTTTTTTTTAGTTACTCCCAAGGTTGTTTCTTCTAAAATGATGGGAAATGAACAAGTCCTCGTTTGCCTCAAAATTAAAGCCTAACAGTGTGCCTTTTCAACAACTCTTTCCTTCTGTCCTTTGCACCATCACACTAATTCAGTAATAAATGAGAGGTGCCTGGATTCTGAAAACCATGTAGCAAAGGGGAACTTCTCACCCCCGTCCCCAGGTGCAGCTTTCCAACATTGGAAAGTGCCTTTCTGCTTGGCTTAGCACAGCTCCTGGGAAATCTGGTGCAAAGTTCACTACTGGGTGAGTCCACAAACAGGGAGCCTCATTTGGGGGCTCAAAAAATTCATTTCTAAATTAGCAATCTATGAATTGCCTCCACTCTATAAAGTCAACTGGCAAGTGACAAAATGTAATAGAGTCCTTCCTTTGGGAAGACATACAATTACTGAAGGTCCCTTTGGACTTCTTAAAGTTGACATTCAAGTTTAATCAGACACATCAGAGCTAACACCTCACAAACGACTGGACTGGGTTGTCTTGTTTTTCTTCACATCATTAACAAACACTTCTGAACACCAGACACTATATACTCTGGGTGGAAGAAAAATAGCTAATATCAGGTGCTCGTTATTTACTAGTTGCTAGTCTAAGCACTTTACATGGTTATAATCCTCATAACCACACTATGAAGTAGGGACTATTACTGCCATTTTAAAGAGAAAACTGAAACAGCTTAAATAACTTGCCTAAGATCAGACAGTTACTATGCAGTATAAAGATTTGAAGTTAGGTAGTGGAACTCTAAAGCCCAGTCTTTGCTAAACTGCTGGTTGAGCTTAAGATGATCAGCTTAAAGTTGGATCTGATTTATTGTGACTTGAGCCACTGTTAAAGTGGATAAAAACTCAAATACTAGAAATCCTTGGCTTGGAATACATAGAGCGTATGTCTGTGTGTCAGTTTCCCCAGGCCACCTGGCTTCATGAGGTAGGGAGAGTCTAACATGGACAAAGCCAAAAGAAAAAAAAGGCAGCCCTGGGCCAGTTTTGCTCAGTGGTTAGAATGTTGGCTTGCAGACCAGAGTCATGGCTTCGATTCCAGCCAAGGGCATGTACCTCAATTATGGTTCATCCTCAGCCCTGGTTGGGGTCGTGCGGGAGGCAACCAATCGATGTGTCCCTCTCACACCGATGTTTCTCCCCCCACCCCAATCTGAAGATATTTGAGAGAAAGTTATCCTTGGGTGGAGATTAAAAAGTTAAAAAAAAGAAAATAAGGCAACCTTTAAGCAACAGTATTTGCTCATAAAATCAAGTGATATTGGAGGAAAAGGCATGATCTAATCCCCAGATGGATAGGTAGAGTCTGGTCAGCTACTCCAGAGATAAGAAGTGAGGCCCAAACACATGTAGAGGCTCAGACCTGGACTGAGGCTTGAGGGGTAGCAAACCATATGCTAGAATAGGTTTGGTATAAAATAATAAGAGGTAGAAACATTTGAAAACTGGGACGCACATGCGAGAGGTGCTCAATTTTAAGTTTGGCAACACATCACATATGTGGGTCAAAGTGGTCCATGGGCCAGAAATCTTGTCACCCCCGGACTACAGCTTTCAGATAAATATCTATGCAAAGAGGTTGTGAGAAAATTCACAGTAAGAGAAAAGCCTGGTCTACTAAAAATACTAACTTTAAATTCTGTTAATTACATGGGGTAGTGGAAAAAAAGCACAAACTGGATTCAAATTTAGTTGGAATTATTTCACTGCTTTGAAAATCAGCTTACACTACCATAACATGGGGCTGATGCCAATGGCTTCCCAGGATTGCTGAGAATAAAAAGAAGTCATGCAAACAGCCTAGCATGTCCTGGCTGGTTTGGCTCAGGGGTTAGAGCATCAGTTCATGGACCAAAGGGTCTTGGGTTTGATTCCTGGTCAAGGGCATATACCTGGGTTGCAGGTTTGATCCCTGGCCCTGGTCGGGTCGTGTGGGAGGCAACCAATCAATGTCTCTCTCTCACATTGATGTTTCTCATTCTCTCTCCTATCCACTTTTATCTAAAAAAAAAAAAAAAAAAAAAATCAGCCCTGGCCAGTTTGGCTCAGCAGATAGAGCATCGGCCTGCGGATCAATGAGTTGCGGGTTCAATTCCGGTCAAGGGCACATACCACAGCCCTGGTTGGGG